ATCTCTGGGAAACTCTTGGAGTATTTCAGCCAAAAAGATATGTTTCACTTCACTTTTAACTCAGAAATTCAGTTACACAGAGCTAATATATATACACTTTAAAATAGGAGACACTTCAGTCTACACAAAAGTTTTTATAAGAAACTTCATGACCTTCCAGAATGTGAAACAGTTAATTTCAAAACCCTTAATTATCTTCAGGAACTAACAGCATTGAAATAGTCCTTAAATACTCAAGACAACAGTCATACTAATCCTAGAGCTCCTTAATAGCATGAGGTATGCAGTAAAATTTAACAGATTTAATTCCTTATGTGTTGTCATGGCTATTACTTGTTTTGGAAAGAAAACCCAGGAAAAATAACTTATGACATTTACGGTTCACTAAATCTGCTGTAAAATCTCTGTGCAGGACCGGTGAATAGACTATTTAAAAATTACACACAAATACATCTTTAAAAGTTAAAGCACACAAGGGTATATTAAGTTTAAAAGACTTATTCATTTTAACCACCCATCCACAGAAACTCATTTCTAGATAAAGTTTATGTGAAAATTGGGATGTTACTGATACGTTAACACTGCAGATGTGGATTTAAACACATTTAAGAACTTCAATTTCTCTACCGCCAAGGCTGTGCTGTATTTTTTTTACTTACATTGGGGCCTAGATAATTGACAGCTTAACTCAAGAGATAGATCTAGATATGTGGGGAACAGCAAGGAGGTAAACCCAAAACTCAGTGCAAACCTTTTCTTTCCTCATTTGCTCAAATTGCACACTGACATAAATGGCATCCTATTTCAGGTAAAGAAGGGTGGTTCAATTCCAGAGCTAATATGGAGTTTTTAACATCTCAAATTACATCCTGGCTCCTGTAATGCCATTCCCAGGAGCTTTCAATCCTCTGGGATAATCACCTGCCCCAATGATTCTGACAGAACCCTTTCCTTTCCCCATCAGGAAGTACTACACTTCTCCCTTTGGCACTACCCTCTACTCTCCTGTCTGATTCTGGCTTTCTGGCAAGTAAGTCACCCTGAAGTTCATCCAGTTCTCAGTTTTCTCACCTAAACAGAGTTTGCTTCCATACTTTCTAGTGCCAGCACTGCTGTGTAAGAGAAACAAACCCTATTACCATTCAGCTTAGGACTGTTCACAGCCGGAGAGTTGGAGTCCTAGCTAGCTCTCCCCTTTGGTACAGAAGAAAGTAAAAAAGATGTTTGAATACCTGTCCTATTTTCTGTCTGTTAGCCAGCCTACAACAACCTTTTAACCAGGCCCATCTGTTCTCCTGCTCATCACAGCAGCACAATGTTGTCATCCTCCTTTTGTTGTCTGTTGGTGTCACGTATCTGTATCAGACGCACCTTCAGATACAGGACGGGGTTCAGTGCCATTTTCTAATCAACAGGTGATTTCTTTGGCCATTATGTCATTTTTGTTTAGGATCTTTAGGCAATACGGTGCTGTGGCAGAACGTACAGCCCATATGAAAGAGCTGCTAAAATCTGCAAATCCCTGCTTCAGGTTCTGAAGAGACAGAAAGCTGCTGACAGCCTGAGGGGGTGGAGGACTCCAGCCCTTCCAGTATCCAGCCTCAGGGGCTCGAAACACGCTTGCTCGACACGTGAGCTCAACCCACATGTCCTACGCACTTATTTTCCTCCCCCTTATCATGCACTTGGCTACAAGGACCGATGAAGGCTCTTACAACCGTCTCCCAACGGCCTCCACAGCTTTGGATACAGTCCATGGGACATTAAACACTTCAAGGCTCAGGAAGCCCTGAGAACCTAAGTATGGTCTAACCGTCCCAGTGTCACAACGACTGCAAAAAAATGCACAAACAAGTGATGCAAAACAATTTGCCCTATTAGGAGATGCAGAAGAGCAAATCTGCGTATCCCAAAGAAAGTAAGGTACCAGTTCTGGCTGAACTGCAAAATTAGCTCATATTAACCTTCCTTCCTTTCCTTCCTTATGTTATTAGAAAATAAGCAAAAGTAGATAACTGGAGAGTCAGAGAAAAATCAGGAATAATTTTAGGAAGCATTAAAATTACGACAGGTCACAAAATTAAAATTAAGGCAGATTTTGAATTCCCATCTCCAGGTAGGATCGAGTACTTATTACTGACCTTTACTCCACTTAGTTTTTGCAGCTGACAGTGTTAAGATTCACTATGGATTACGAGGCGTTCCATTCAGCAGTAACTGCCAGAACGCACTCCGATCCGTAACAGCAGAACCTAGCTCACTGCACTGCTTTTTCACACTAGATTGAAGGGGCCTTCAGCTACAGAAGAAAAGCCAGGGTTTGCATACAGACGCTGAGGAAGAAAAGAGGTAGGAGTGGTAGGCTTCTGAAGTTCAGCTCCCAGAAATAAATTCCATGCTGCAACTGAACAAAATAAAGCTGTTATAAGTCAAATCTCAAGTTATCAAAGTGCGCTCTACCATACCGTGTTCCCTGACTCCCATCTTTATTATGAAAAGAAAAGCATTCATGCTGTGAAGTTTAGACCAGAGCCATTAGACAAAAACATTTTCCTCCTTGTTAGAAGGAACAGAGATGATCACACAACACATATCCAAGGCTATCAGAGACCACTGTTCTGGTTTCATTAAATTCATGACAGATTTTGTTCAAAATATGGGGCGTGCTGTAAAGCATTTCCACTAAAAAAGAATTCGGGACTTGTTCCACTCTGCAAACCCAAGGCACATCTAATTTCCACCTTTTATTCTTCATTTTAAATAAGCTAACCCTTTTTCCGTTATCACCCAAATGGGAAAAAAAAAAGTTTATCACAGCAGGCATCACCACCAGTTCACTGGTTAGTGAGAAAAGAGGGATACAAAAGAAACACAGCTGATTTCATGATGAGTCCTGAGTCTGAAAAGCAGAACTCCCCAATACTTGCCTTTAGTGCTTTCTATGTTCCAGTGAACTAGTAGTCTTTAATATCCATCTTCAGTCTCCATCTGGGAAACGTGCAACTGACTTCAACCTTTTCTTGCTTCTGGGCTGAAGGATGTTTTGTTGATCTTTCACTTTATATCTTGAGAAGTATGGAATAGCTTCAAAAATACGCAAAAGGTTGATATCCAAGCTAGCATCTTATGTACAGGAAGGATTAGGCTTATCAAAATCATTTGCTTGGCAGTGTACAGCTCTTTCTCTTGTTCTCAGCAATTTACAGCAAGCACCAGAAGAAATAAAGAACCATTCAGAGGAGATCACCTGGACAAAGGAACCTGAAATTAAACTGATCACATACATCTTTTCATCTGGTCTTCTGATAGTATTAATGTGATTTGTTTCTGTTCAGACAAACGTCAGGGAGAAGACAAATGACAGACAGGCAGACAGCATCAACACAGCTCATCACCCCGTCAACACTCCCACCAGGCGTGTTGGTGGCAGGCAGGGTACTCATACAGAGACAAGCGGAACCACTGAGTGCTCAGCAGCAGAAAGAGAAGAAAAAGGCTTTTGAAGAAATACTCTGTGTGTTCTAGGAACAGAGTAACATGGGTTAGCTAGATAAGCACTTCACCAAAGAAATACTTCCACAGCCTTGAGCCCAAGAACCTGCAGCCATCATGCTGCAGGGTCTCTACTGTTTATGCTGTCACCAGATGAAATGGAGAACATGCTTTTTACTACAGCACCAGCAAGGCTGTAACAAGGCAAGCAGCAACTATTTTTCTATACGCAGAAACAAACAGAGTGCAGAACAGAGCATGGTCCACAGGTATGTGCCTGAGTAGGAGCTGAACAACAAGGCAAGAACAAGTGGATCCAACCAAGGAGTTTAACAAGACTTGGAAACCGAATATAGGATAAACAAAAGACACAGCTGTTAAGTGCTACTGAGACATTAAGATCTAAGCCCAGGAACTTGGCAATACAGCAAGTAACACTTACAAAAAGTATACTGTGTAAGTAAACTCTGTGCTAAGTTGATGAATGAATGCATACAATAAAAAGATAACAAAAACAGATTTCACAAGGGAAGACACAACAAAGTACCCACAGAATTTTCAGAAATGCATACCATCATCTTTAGATACCTGAAGTTTACAATTCAACCCACTGCAGTTACAGTGTATACTTAACTGTCATCATGTTTGGTATCAGGAAATATAAAGAAAAGATGAAATAGACACCAGACACTATAACCTTTACCACTGCAAGGCACTTCAAGTTTAGAAAAGCACTTTTCTCCAGACTACAAAATACAGAGCAATCCCTGTAATACAGGGAAGGAAACATTTTTTTCCTTTATCTTCCTCTCATATGTGGTATTAGAGTAGGAAAGTAGCTGCATTGCTGTATACTGCTTCAGACTCAAAACATATACAATGAATTTTCCTGTAACACTGTACAAATGCACACTTCTGTCCCTAAAAGCTTAGAAAAGAACAGATAAAATTATGTTCTATACTTCCCCACCCCAATCTCTGCCCCATATCATCAAAAGGTACCGTCAAGATCAGCAGACCTACTAAGATCAAAAGATACTGCAGTTCTTGCTGTTGGGGAAAAAAAAAAAAAAAAAAAAAAGCCTGAAATCTCACTAGAAGGCAGCTGGAGGTTAAAGATACATGTTTAACTCTGAAGGAGACAGATACTCTGGAATTTTCTCACAATAATAGCTTTAGAGATAAAACTACATTCTTCCAAGATGGAAGCAAAGCTGAAGTAGTAAGTAGTCAAGCATGTGTGATTATACTTCAAATATTCACCTAATCCAAAGCAAGGTGCATCTCATATACAAACTTTATTATGCAAATAAGATAATCCCCAGATTCTCCACTCAGCCATTTAAGTGCAAATACCAGAAATGGTCCAACTAGAAAATCAAAGACAGCAAAACCAGACAAGCCCATATTCTCTGATTCTTAGTTTTCATTTTCTTCTTCCAAGAGAAAATAGGCTGACAGATAAAAGGACATATACATCCACCCCATAGTCTTCTAATACAAGTAAATACAAAAAAAAAAATCAAGTGTTTATTGGAAGTCTGCATGAAGGCACAAATGAGCTTGATTACAGACACATTTTAACAATTACAAATGTATGTAAACATGTTGAGATACACAACAAAGCAATAATACAGCTAATACAGGAATAAAATGTAACCTGCAAAAAAAAAATAAATCTTTGTATCCGAGGTTCTTTCAATTGTAAGGTCTGATTCACACCAACACAGTGTAATGTTTTTAAGTAACCACTTGGATTCACGCTTAACAGTATGTGCTGTGACAGTTGTTGTTAACCAGTGTATACATTTGATCCAAATTTGAACAGGCTTCCTTCCCTAAGACTGGGAAAACATAGAAATAACCAACTAGACACCCAGCCAACCTAGAATGAGGCTTCAGAGATTCCCTAAATACATAAGAGCAATCACCAATGAACTGAAATTAAATATAAGCGTCAGAAAAGCTCAAGGATGTTTGTTCCACTTTTACTTGCATTTGAGGAAATTGCTGTATTTCTGCAGGAAAGGAACAGTCTACATCTGTAGGTGATTTTTTTTTTCTTCCTCCACAGGAGGCTTAGATTTCATCTGAAACACCTGCCAAAACAAAAGTCAGCAATCACAAACTAAAGTGCCTTGGACAGCTTAGGTTTTACCACTAGAATAAAATACCTTTGTGTACAGATACAGTATTAATTTATATAGTGAGAAAACTCACCTTTGCAAGTAGAATACTATTTCAGATATTTCTGTGGAAAGGGGAATCACTTATTTTTTTAAATTAGACACCAGTGCCAGGAACTTAAAGAACAACTGCAACACAGCACTTTTTGAAAGGAAAACAAACAGAAAAATGTTGTCGTTCTAGTACAGGCAATTCCCAGGCCTAGCTGAAGGGTACTCTGAGCAGCAATTTACTACAGGGACACAGTCTTCTCAACCTCTATCACCTGTCCTAACTTCCCTCTCCCCATCTACACAAGCTTTGTAACTTCTGAAGCCCAATCGCAGTGAGGAAGGACTTCTGTCTGGATAACATAAGCCAAACAAAACCTAGCATAGCCACAACAGTTCCCCTGACTCTGCAACCACATCATCCCTACCTAAAGATGAGGTAGTACTTCTCTTTGGAGCCTAACTAGTTGAATAGGAACAAGTACTATTCTCCCTAATGTAGCAGCTGTCTGTTAATGCAGTGCAAAACCTCTGTATTTCTCTCCCTTCTTCAGGGCACACTACTAATGCAAATACAGGAACAGATGCTTGAAAGAGAAATCTTAAGATGAGCACACAAACCCACCTGAATTACAGCTGAATCGTAAAGGCCACAGCATGGCACACTGAGTGACTTCCTCTAGTCCACAAAGTGGCAATGTCTCTTAATCTCTATTCATCCTGGGACTAGTGGTTTTTACCCAAAAGGAACGTGAATGTTATCCTGAGTACTTATTACAGTGAAATATGGAAATAAAAAAAAAAATTAAATGAAAGATCAACAACTCTAGTCCAAATCCAAAAAGGGCTGGAAGAAGAATTCAGCTCCTCAGGGAACTGAGGAAACCAGATTGTCTCTGCATACAGTTCATTTGGTACTTAGGGGCTTTGTTTGCTCTTCCTTCAAGAAGACAGTTATTTCCCCTTAAGAAGGTTGTTATAACAGATGCATGTATCATAATTTTATAGCTTACACTCATAAACCTTCTGGTTTCTTATGAGATGGCTTGAACTGAAGAAATATGCTCTGCATAGTCCATGCTCTGTAGACTCCCAAGGATCAAAAAGAAATAGACTGCCATGACTGAAACAAAGGAGACATCAAAAAGAGTTGAACAATATTAGAATTTAAGCTGCTTGTAAAACTAAGCATTAGGAATGGGGAAAAACAAAACAAAACAAAACACCACCACCAGAATACTTAAACAAGGTCCCTGGATGCATCCTCTTAGTAAGCAATGATCAATATTGAGGATGAAAGATTTTGTTCTTTGACAGACAAAGTACTCAAGGCTCCACAATTGGTTTCCATGTATTTAACAAAATACATGGAGTCTAAATTGTCTCCTGTCAGCAGTTCAGCTCCCGCTAGTTCCAGGAAGCTCTGTCATTTTCGTTGCTTCCAAGACTGTATTTTTCATTCAGCTGAAGTGCACAGAAATTCTACTCAGGCAGATGGATTTGTGAACTACCAGCATTTTAACAGGAAAAGGAGTCCTGTCCTGTTTAGCTCTGGTACAGCAAGATTGCTAATAGAAAAGCAATGTTACTTTCTTGGAAAACTCTGATAGTCTTTTCTGCCTTTGGGAATATGCTCTTAGAGGAGTAGATATAATTAAAACAATCTTATCTGGCTGTTAGCTGGAAGACTATCTCCAAACAATTCCATCTCTTCTTCCAAAACTCCTCTGGAACAAATTGTGGTTAAAATGAACTCTTAATGCTCTACAGAGATCAGCTGCATTCCAGTGTCCAAGCCAGATCCCTTGAGAGAAAAAGTAAAAAGAAAGCTGTTTGATTGTCAGAGAGGAAAGTACTCTGAAACAGCCAAAAGATTTATTTTTCAAAAACAAACAAACAAACAAAACCTTTGGCTGTAAACACACACTTACAAAATACTCATCACTGCTAGAAGTTGCTTCTGTGACCTTGCACAACTCGTGAAGATGCAAGTGTGCAACTGACAGACATCAGTAATGAAAAGAACAGCAGAAACCCACCCAGATGCTTCTGAGATAAAATAAAGAAAACAAGCTGGACAGTGATGTCAAGGGAGTTTCTCCAGTCTGTGGGAGGTTCTGATAAAATCACCACTGCAAAATTGTAATTCATGACTATAATTCACAAGGAAAACTGAAAATCCATTTACATTTATTAGGAGATGCTTGTGCACAATTCCTTATCTTCAAAAAGTCTACAAATAGAGTTTAACACTTCTGATTGCAAGCAAATGTTTGTCCAATGTTCTTAGGTAAGGCCAATTTAGCGCCTTGTTACATTTTCAGGATTTAGCATACATTTGTCAGTTCTTTACTTTCATCTGGTAACGGTCCCACTGCAACAGTAAGGAGAGATCACTAAGACACTTCACAACAGCAGCTGAACTTGGGTTACACAAATTCAGTTTTGGAATATGCTTCAAATGTAATTTATTCTAGGCAAATTTCCATTTCAAGTTCTTAAGACAACACTGTCAAAGGCTTCCCCTCCCCCCCCATTTATACTACTACCACTACGAGCTCACACTCTATAGAACCTCATGTCCAAAAATCTCAAAGCACTTCAGAAAGGAGGGCACCATTCTAACTAGTGGCATACTTGAGCTGAAATCCTGCTTATAAAAGAATATATCTTTTTCTTTTTTCTTCTGTTAACAAAAGGACAAGTGTTCAACTAAACCAATCCTGTTTTGACCTTAGTCCCACCTCTGACTGCCTGTAGTTTTCTCACATGCAAACCCACCACGGCTTCGGGAGCTGTGTTTAATAACAATGCTCACAGGGGAGTTTCCTCTATGGAAAAGTGAGCATGCATTAGCTGTGGTCAATTATTTTCAGATGGAAGCACTGGTCAAATTGTCTGCCTGCCACAATCTTGAGTATCACTTTATCAGAGAGTCACTATTACCATAACTAATGTAATCAGATAATGCACTTGATCCCATATTGGTTTACCAAGTGTAATAGACTATATATGCTTTTCTCTAAATTCTCTCGGAGCTGAAACTACATAGATATAATGAAGAACTTCTAGTTTTGCCTTAAGCTGAACCTTTTACAACATTATTTTAACTTACTATTTTGATTTAGAGCACTGATTTTATAAAGATATTCAGTCTGCAATTCCTGAATAGCTGAGCGGCAAACATGAAACTCTATGTACAAATGTTAGTATACTACCAGAACGCTCTACCTCCTTCTTAAAAGTGTCCTTAATAAAGCATTAGGCATGTCAAACAAACTTTTGTAAACAAAAGATAAATTACTCATGTTCTGCTCTGATTATAGCCAGATACATATTCTCATAAAATAAACATTCTCTTGTCATTTTCCATGGCCCATATATCCGTATCTATGAGGTAAACCACTTAAAATCATCAACAGTATATAAACCTCAGTACTCAACAGGAACCTCAGGAAAAATAAAACTGAGCAAGATGTCAATATCAAGAAGTGACACTTCGTTCCACTGCAAAGTGAAACCAAACAATTTATTTGTGCTAGATGAATGGAAAGAATGTATTTGGAATACATTTCTTTATACATTGTACCGGCTTAGGCTGCTAAATAAGCATTCATTAGTGCCATGTTGTGCTACTTTCTTGTACTCTGTTTCTACCAAGCAATACAACACTTTTGGCTGTTATGCCAGTATATTCTATATGCTCATTGTATATCTTATTTTCTAACAGACTTGAACATTTAGAATACTTGTTCAAACTTTGTTTTAGGGGAATCACAATTAATATATTTTAACAAGGAAAAGAAATAATCAGCTGTTCTCTACAATCACGTTGCCTTCTGCAGCAAAAAAATCAAAGAGCACACTTCAATCAGCTATCAGTAACCTGTGGGCAGGACCACACTTAGAGAAGTTACTTGTGACAGATCACACAGTATGGACAGCTTACAGGTTAATGCAAATGTCAAGTGAAATAATCAAACCTTAAGGTCCACAAGTTATACATTCCATATACTCCAGCAAGTCAGTTCCCTCACTTAAAGATTCAGACTGTACCATACGTTTGAGGTGTTTTTAAACAGGAGAAGTATGGATGTGTCCTGTGTGCTGAATTAAGCTTATTTACTAGGTAATACAATAGAGTATGTGTCTTGGGCACTGATTAGGGTGTCTGACTCACTTCTGCACTAGAAGCTGTTATTTCAAATGACCGAAACGTAGTGCTAATTTTCCACAAGCTTGGTAAACACTGTAATATTTCAGAACTCATCAGATAGCCCATCATGCCTTAAATTTTATGCAAATTCTCATGAAAAAATATAAAAAGGTATCCCTTTAATTTTACAAACCTAGAAGCCAGGAAAATGAAGCTTTGGAGCCAAGCAAAACGACATAATGCCGTATTACCAAACAGAGTAGCAAATGTTCCAGCCAGAGAATGGACATACATGTAGTTCAAGTAAACACTGATGGAAAATTTTGTTAAGTTAGTGTTGTAGACCCACAACACTGGCTGCATTTTATACAAACGTTTACAACACAATTAACAGTGAAGCCTATATAACCTCAGTGCAAATAAGTCAAATCCAAATATGCCAAGTAAGCCTTTGGCTTTTAGTAAACTGCTCCATGTTATGAGTCCAATTCTGACATACAGACTGCTGAGCACATGCACTAAGGCTGAGAGGAGGGATGCACTGAATGTTGAAAAGTGGCTGACTGCGATGCTGCGGATTGGACCGTAGGTTGCACAGGTGGTGGAGGTGGTGGCGGAGGTGGCTGCACTGGGGTCTGCGTGTTTGGAGAAGGAGGAGGAGTGGGACGTTTAAATTTGTCGGGGCTGTTACTTCTTCGTGGTGAAGGCCTCTGCAGAACAAATATTGAAATTATGTTTAACACACTCCTGAACAACTTTAGGTGCAAGTCCTCTAATCAATGTATTGAGCTTGGCAAAGGAAAAGAAAAAACAATTATTTGGGAAGAATCCCTTTTAAAACATTTCAAGAATCACAACACAATTTTTATGTAAAATAAACTGTTCCTCTGAAATAGAATAGCAAAGGAAAATTGAAGTATTTCTGAAATCAAACCAAACAGGCATTCTTTCCCATCAGCTTGCAGGAAATGAAAATAAGAAATTATGTCCTGAACTTATGTTTACCTTTGATGACCAGCAACCTATAAAAGAAAAGTGAGAGACGCCATAGAGACAGCACCTCTCAGTTGTGCCTGCCCAAGCAGTAGGTGCTGATGATGCTGATGAACTTTTAGCTTTACAATGCTGGTGTGTGAAGTCCAACTACACGGCACCTGAGTGAGGGTGGGAATGTCTCAAAAGCCAAAGCATTTGCCCAGAAACATTTGCATTCTGAAAAACTCTTAGCCTGCATACCGGAGCAAGACTGAAGCATAATTCAGCTTGTTCTTCTGAGATCAAATATCATACAACAAAGATTACAACCCCTAGAGCTGTAGGAGTAAAACAATGGTTATTAAGCTCCCCTCAACAGAAACCACAGACTTGCAATAACCTGCACATTTAAACACAAAGATTTAAAATCCATTTTTACAAACCAGTGGGGGAAAAATCTTTAAAATTAAGCAACATAAAAATATAAATTACACTGCAGAACACTAAACTCTGCAGTTTTAAACCCAAAATGCTTACTACTTACCAATCAACTTAGCATTAATCTAGAACTTCATGGCATGACAAACTACCCACCCATAATTAACAATCAACCGAAGTCAATCACCTCTGAGGAGAAGAATGGTTACAGTGCTATACAAAATGTACTACATGTAAAATCAATTTGTTCTGTAATGGAGATTAAAAATGAAGAGTCAAGAAGCAAATCACAGTTTGGTCAAATAATATATATTGTATCTATTTTTTTGAACAATTATGTATAGTAGATTAGTTAAATGCTCTACGAAAATAGCCAAAAGATTATCAACAGTTGATCGATGTTTCTCAAACACTTAAAATCATTTATTGCATTTGCATACATCTAATAATGTGAAGGGGCCTGGCTTAAGTATAAAGGAAAAGCCATGAGCCACTTAACAAAACCTTCCTCTAAACAATCAGTATTCTGTCCTGGTGGTTGTCTTTGTCAGTGACTCAGTGTTACTCCAATTAATTTATAGTATCAGAAAGAGCAGAATCAAAATTTCAGAGACCAAACAGAACAAGTCCCTTTAAAAAATTATGTATAAAATCAGTTTCTAGGTTTTTCCAGATCTTCCTGTGACTAACCCCCAGGTTAGTCACATTGGAGGGCTGGACCTGGACCAGGATTCTGCCTTTCTGCTGAGCTCCAGCCTCCTGTTCTACCCACTACTATATAGTTCCCATCTCCATTTGCTCAATGGAATTAACAATTACTTTAGCATACCCACCTAAGCAATTTAAGAAGCAGACATATTTTAGCATTCTACTAAATACTCTGTTGAAACATGCTTTCACATCTGAGAATGACAAGTATATGCAAACATCTTAAAGGACAATATTTACATTCTACCATACCTGTTGAGAAAAATCAAAATGGTCTTGACACATTAGAGCTCACAAGCTATCTTGCCAAATGGTTAACTCTTAGGCTCTGTATTCTTGTTAAACTCCACAAATATTTAGAAGAAACTCAATTAAGTAGAAATGCATCAAACATCAGAGTTAAAAAGGAAATAAATCCAGTTGAAAGACACTGAGAAATTGTCCTAACAAATGTTTAATATATTAACTTTCTTCTTTGCCAATGAGAATAGAAAATAAGAGTTAACTGCCTGTTACAGTGACATGGTGGTAGCATTGAGTGTCATCCTGAAGAAAACCTGAGCTTGGAGCAACCTCAGATGACTCATCCGTCAGATGGTGGAGACTAGGAGAAAAATGAAAGCAATGTTTTTACTTCCTGGGATAGGCTCAGTAGCTTAGAACATCACTTCTCACACCCTGCCTGCTGATCCATAAGATGATACCTATTACTGTCCTTAAGATGATAATACATCCTATTCTTTTGCAGAAAATAAGGTTCTCCAAAAAGAATCAGTTTCTGAGGGGTGAAGAGGAAAATCAGGGTTGAAGAAAGCAGCAATAGATATCTTGGAGTAAGGAGACAAAAACAAACATTTACAAAAACATTTTGCACAAAAGCTTAAGGACAAGCAATCATAATTTTTAAAAATCAAACTGACACTGGTAACAAACATTTGCTATATAAAATACTTACTGTAATACCATGGGATGGTCCCATATGTTGCACATGAAGGCCTGGGGAATTGTAGTAAGACATTCCAGCTCTAGTCAGTGAAGTTGGTGGTGTGAAACCAACTGTGTGACTTGCATATGACAGACCTAAAAATTGTTAAAACAAGGTAGAAATCAATGTTCCTGTTTATTTTACAAACTAAGTATTTCGTGGGGATTTTTTTGTTTATTTTGTTTTTGTTTGCTATATTTTGAAACAATGATGGTTTAAAGAAATAGTAACTGGTATCGAATTAGACACCTAAAAATAGTCAAAGGGTGATGTAAAATCTCTTATTATTTTCCTGTAGTAAACTGCCATGTGTTCAAGAACACACATCACACAACACTGAACAATTTTTCACTTAACATAAACAGGGTAGGGCTCCCTTGGCAGCTTAGTTTTAGTTCACAGATATTTCCATCCAGCTTTCCATCTCTCCTTAGAGCAAACTGCTCCCTCAACAAAATGCAGTCTGAAGAAGCAGACAGGCTGTGCCTGGAAAAGCTGTCCAGCACTGGGACACTAAGAGTTTCCACATGACAGAAACTGGATGGAAGTGACTCCTTCAAGGCATAACACCTCTGCAGCCAAACCAACAGCAGCCCAGACTTCCTCCTGGTTTTGCCCTTGTGCTTATAGGCAGAGACCCAACGATCTCTGGGGCTGTGAAATATTCTGGTATAATCTTCCATGGACTACAGTACAAGTAACATTTAAAATTACAACATGTTTTATCCGTATTAAGGTAACCATAATATTCAGAAGTGCAAAAATCTGATCTAATTCTTCTTTCTGAATACTTTCTTTCTATAAATACTAGTTCAGAAAAATGCAGAATATCTGTATAACTAACCAAGGTAAAAAAATAATAATAATAATAATAAATGACAGCAGCTAAGTGCTTGAAATTCAGACCTCGAAATGTTCTGAACATTCTCAAAACTGCAGATTTTCCAAAACCTTTAGCTCACTATTGCCTTCTGGCAAAAATATCAGTAGGACAGGAGACAAGACTCTTCTCAGCTGTTTACTATTACAAACTGGAAACAGCTTTGGAGAATTATGACCAATATTTCATCGAAAAGCCTACTAAACTTTTAGAATACCACACTGGATTTAACAGATTTCACACTTCTTCTACACTAAATCAGTGCAACAAAGTGCTGCAACAGCACCTGGCTCTGCTTATGCCTGACTAAAGAGACATCTCAGGAAAAAAATACACACACACACACACAAAAAAGCCTCAGATCACTAATAAAGTTATATAAGAAAACATATTATACCACCCTTGCTTCAATGTACATCTGGTGCAAATTATGAGTTACTCCAATGGAATCAATCACTTTAGAGTAGCTAAACAATACCGATTAACAAAATCTGATTTTTGACTTAAGTAATCCAATTGTCTGTACAGCACGTTCTATAGCTAAGTGCTTTTGCAAGCATAATGACAGGAACACAAGTCAATGTTCAGGTAGGTGACAATTTGCATTGCAAGTCAGAGATGAGAGCCCTGAACAACAAAAAATCAGTAATCAGTAATTACAGCAACCATTCCCCAGCTGCCCAGGGGTAGCAATGCATCCAATCTTCTCAGGTTCATGCAGGGTGATATAAACCTCAGCAGTATCTCAGCTTGAAGGAGTCCTCAAAAGCAGCATCTCAAGCCACACAAGCACAAAAGGCTCCAGGATTCAGGACGCAGAATCTGAGCCGTTAAACCTGACCTGGATATCCACATAAAATTATAGCATTTCTAACGTGTTTCAAATTATGTCTCTCCAAATTCAGGCACATTGTTTCCTAAAAGAAACATGCCAAGTCATAAAAGCACTTGATGCAAAATATTCACTGTTGCATTATTCTGTGCTTTTTGCAGCATCTTACGGTATTACTTTTCAAAAACTATTTGTTTTCATTAACTACTGCATTCATACCTACCAAACAGCTGTATGAGATTCCCTATTGATCTCATTAATTCTTCAGCAAACTGCTGTTTCTACTCTTCTGAGGTCTGAAACTTTCCAACAGCAGACATCAATTTATCATATGTGGAGAGCAACATAGCTGCCTGTGCAGAAGTGCTAGGCTGGAACATTTACTCTACAAACATTACCAAAGTTAAAATTGTGAATTACATTATAAATGATCGTTTCACCTGTGCTTTTTTTTTTTCTTTAACTTCTTTTCAGACTCAATTACAGCATCCCCTGCTTGTGAGATACAGTTCCCATGAGAATGCAGTTCTCTGTCTCCCATCAGCCGAGGCATTTGACCCAACAACCCATAGCAAGCAAGGAATATGCCACTGTCCCAGTGTAGGAACAATAAACCCAAAGCGCACTCCTGCACTGACACATCAGCATCTGCATTAAGCACATTTCTAGGTAATGTAAGATGCAAGCTTGTTGTAAATTGCTGGAGAATTTCCACCACATACATTTTTTACCATTACTATAGCCACTGTGTGGTCTACAGCCAATGTGCAGATGAATATTGCAGATGATTATTATGAAGGCTGCACATGTATACACCCAAAGTAGTTGCTCCAGAACAGTCTTTAGTATGACTACGTTTCTGTATATACTTACAGGCAAAGGATTAAAAAATCATATATTGTTTTTGTGGTAATAACACTTGCAAAACACTGAAAGCCAAGCAATCTGTCTCATTTCAGAACTCCCCCAAAAAACTCTTAAAAAGCTAAATTATCATATCTCTAACACTGGCTTATGGATGTACGTGCTCACTCTTTTACCAACATCAGCCTGAAAATTATTTCGAGTCTTTCTGAAAAAATAAAGTAAATCCTGAAAAACAAGATTTAAACACATTTTGTATGTTTAGACCTGTGTAATAAAATGTCTAAATCCCATTTTGCAGAATGTGTTGATACAGAGCACGTCTCATTTGCTCTTATTGTGGGACTCTCTCTGATAGATTCTACAGGTGAACTTGGGAAAGCAGAGCATGCAGGATTCTCTTTACTAAAGTACAAGTGTATTTGTGATCACCACGTGACATCCACGGCCAAAAACTTACAATGATTGTCGAATAGCAATTTTAAGGGATTTTATATCTACCAATAAATGTCTTAATAACATAAATACATTTCCTTTAACGTTAAAAATATATTCAGTAATTAAAAATTCAATAATGTCAGGTGTAAGCCGTTCAGGTTCTTCTGAAATTCTGAAGACTATATCATCCACTTTCTATACTCAAAAAAGTTAATTTGCCTTTGTTAAAAGTACTAGAGACAGAAATTCTTAGTGTGTTATTGCTTTACATCAGAGATTTGCAGAAGTGTAAAAAAGGAGGGAAGGTAGGGATGATAAGGGGTTCAAAGTATAACTACTTAACTGACCTACAGTATTTAATCACAGTATGAAACAGACCCATCTAAAAACTCATGCTGTACTAAAATAAATGTAAGGTAAATCTATTCTTTATGATGCATCTTTGGCCCCAAGACTAGCTTTGAAAGGCTATCAACCCAGGGAACATTATTATGTGACGCATACTAAAATTTTACAAACTGGGTAAAATATTTACCAGGTGATATAGGTCTGCTAGAACTTGGTGAGGGTGTGTAAGGGATAGGACTGGACACAGTGCGAGGTCTTAATCCTTGTGCAGACATCTCATTAAAATATCTAACAAAAAGAAAGGTAAAGAATAATTAGATTAAACCTTTTAAAACATGCCATGCTTTAAATGTTTCACTGTGCATTTTGAATTCCCGTAAGAATCACATTAGGTTAGCGTAGGACCAGTCACCTTTAGGAAACCATGACAGGAACACTCTCTTCATTGCTGAGTGTTCTAGTAATGGCTTAGATTTCCATGGAAACAGCTGGACTCACCTTAGTCATTTGCAGTGAAAACTGTACAAGCTGTACACAGTTGGAATACTATGTATTAAGGTCAGAGGTATAAATCACATCAACCGATCTGACCTATGCTGCAGTCCTGCATTTTACATGTAATTTCTACATTGAACTCAACAGCTTGTCTAGCTGGAGCTTATCTCCCAGAAAGGGAATCAAACACTAATTTGAAATCACAGAAAGGGGAGAAAAGCCACTGAAGTATTGATAATTTGTTCCAACAGCTGGTCAGCCTCACAGCCCTGCTTCCTATTTGAATCTGTCTATTCTCAACATTAAGCCATCTGCTCATCACGTCTTTTGCCATGGAAACGGACAGACATTTTGAATGCAGCACTTTCACCTGTTAAAGATGTTTGCAGGCTGTGTAGCAAGATGACTCCCACACTTCATCTTGATAAAACAAACAGGTGCAATTTTATCCCAACCGTAACTAGTTAGTGTCATTGATTTGTACTTCCTTCACTGAATACAGCGAAGTTTCTTCACAACCATCAACTGCTAGTTCTATTTAATATAAAAGGAAATAAGAATCATACCAATTGCTCCTACTTGCCACTCACTGTTTATATATCAGAAGCAAGTTAATGATTTTTTTCCAAAGCTCTACGCTGGCAGCTTTTAAGTTAACTTGCTTAGGCACGCTCCCTGGAGATTTTTCAGTCACTGTCTAGATTACAGTTTCCCCTGCTCATTTCCTCCTCTACCTGTACATCAGTGCACCCAGAGTAATATTGCATTTATCTGTTTCTTTACTGGATGCAGCAAAGTGGAAGATAAAATTAGCTACCTAAATGCCCTCTGACTCTTAGTTGTCTTCCCTTCTGCCATTGTGCTGCTCAGAAATTCTTGGTAGCTACACTTATTTTCAGATCACAGGAAAAAGAAAAAAAAAAAGCAAAACGAACAAAAACATGGGGTACCATTAAGAATTTTCATGCTCAATGGAACTCACAAAAATTACTACTTTGAGTTCTGTATGCCAGTTCTTAAGCAATCTGATGCATGCTTTGATTCTGAATCTAACTAATGTTTAACTATGATATTCAGAGTCACTAAGCCACAACACTTAACAGAGGCAGTGCACTGTAGCGATGCTGAAGATGGTTTAAAATTGGGCAGATAATTAGTAACAGTAGCTACAATAGAGAACAACAGCTGATAAATTAGTTTGCTTGAACATAAGCTTTCCAAAGAGCTACCAATGGCAGGATTAGCAAAACTGAACTGACTAGACTACTTCTATAACACTCAGTAAATGCAGACAAATGTATTACAGCAATGCAGTGATCTTTGTGGTTTAATCTTATTTTACTCTACATGAAGGCCATTTTCTGTAAGTCGTTTTAGTTACCTGGATTGTGTCATGTGAAATAGCAGCACACCATTACTATGCTTCTTGGTTTTAGAAATTTCCGTTACTGAAGAGAACAAGATGGAGGACTGAGAAAGCAAGGCTACTGCTAGCCAGGAGCAAGGAATTTTGTGAGAGTTGTGCATTTTGAATTCAGTAAAGCATCTTCATCTACTCTACAAAAAATAAGTATCATCAGCTAACAATGCAACTGGAAAAATGGATATCTCATCTGTCAGCACAACCATTTTTAGGAAGACAAAGTAAGCTGGCAAATCTCCATTTTTAAATAACTACTGCACGTAGTTCTACAATTTTTGTCTACACAGTTCTCTTCTAAGACTAACCACTCTAACAGCTGCCTCTTCCCTCACTTTACTTTATATTACTTACCATGCAAACCCCTATTTCGGAGTGATTCTGTAATGCGTTTCTAGTACCAAAATAAATCAACATGACAATTACATTTCTTATTTTTTTTCTACATTTTATTACTACCACTACCTACAAAAAGCTGGAAAAAAGAATACTCTAGAGTTTTCGAATGAATACTGATAATTCATATGAATATAAATTTTGACTTTTTTCTATTTTTTTAAATATATTTCTATTACAACAAATATTGGCAGAAAAGACTAGGCTAATCGAATTAGATTTGAACACGAGAACCCTGTGTTTCTAACAATAATTAACACAGCATTCTATATTGTAATACTAGATGCTACTGCAATACACATCAGTTGCCTAGTACCTCATTAAAATGAAAACATTACCTTGAATTTTAAGGCCACTCCTTGAAACAAAATATCTGGTACTTTGTTTTCTGGTACATTATATCTCATAACAAATATACTGACGATGCAAGAAGAAGCATCTTAGTATCAGAAGAATATATATCACAGAGTGAGGGTTTTTTGTTTGTTTGTATTGGTTTTTAAGTACCACTATAAATTCAAAATAATGTAAAACTGTATAATAAGATAATGAACATTTGATAATAACTAAGAATGTTCTATTCAAAGTATACATAAAACCTCTTTCAAAATGTAACACTGTCATATCACTATGATGTTAGAAAATAAAAAGTATAATATAAAACCATGAAAAAAATTAAAGACTATTTCCTAAGGTCACCGCAAATAACGCAGCTTGTAGTACAGAAAAAAAGAAATCAAGGATATTATATTTTGGACATCAAGAACAAACCCACTAGCTCTGGAAATGCTTCTTCTCTCTAAAGCTTTATTTGCTATTCCTTTGGATTTGGCAGAACACTTTCTAACTTCTGCAAAAGAAAAATTACCCCAAGTATATTTTTCCTACATCACAGAATTCATTGCAGTTACCAAGTTAGGTGAAAAACAAAGGTACCATGATTTAATTATCTTGAAGCTCAATCCCACAGGCTTGTTTATTTCACTATGCACTATCAAAACCCTAAACAATCTTCAGAAAACTGTTTAATTTTTCACTGCTATAATTAATCTAAATTCTAAACAAGTCTGATATAATTCTACTAAAGACACTCCTGGACCATGTTGAAATTTGATACATATATTAAACCCAATTCTAAGTTATCTTTATGAGTACTCATTTTCTAATATTAAAAAAAAAAAACAAAAACATAAAACAAACAAGCATGAGTGTTAGTTAACAAGCTCAATGCTAACATACCTGAACAGCTAGAAAATACACACCTTTCATCGTCCATTTCTAAGCTGGATTCACTTTCTGACAGTTGCCTGCAGAGTGCTTCCCTACGCTCCATTTCCCTCTGTAGTTTTCTTTGAAGCCTCAAGTTTTCTTCTCTCATATGTCGCTCCTCTTCTAAATATTGTGCCATCTTCTCTGAATCTGAAATTCAGAATTCTGTTAAAATTTGGTTAACATTCAATTTCATAGACAGGCCCATATGTTGTGCCTAATTTTATCCCAGCACTTCAAGAATGAGGGAGTAGAAAATGTACAGGATGGATCACTCAAAGTTCCCACCTCTAAGTCATTACACCAAAGGCTAATTTGTAACAGTAGCTACTAAAATTACTATCTGACAGCAATGTTGTAAATAAGGATAAAAACAAAAAGAACTTTCAAGCATTTACTTAAATGAATTTGAGAAGCAGAGAAAAAGTCAAAGAAATCAGTAAACTGCTCAAATCAATTCCTGCCCCTTTACAGTAATGCAATTACACAGCTACAAAAATATTACTGCAACAGCGAAGAAATACTTTTAAAGGTGTATTTCCATTTTAAGAGAGGAATCACAAAAGTGCTGAAACACAGAATATTCAACCTTGTATTAAATTGTCATCTTATGAATATTCTACAGCATACATTCAATTAGACTTCATCGTAGAGAAGGGCCAGTAGGTCATCTACCAATATTAAAAGTCACCTAGTGGTTTACTCTCTACATCAAACGACAACTTGAGTTTGCAATTCTAAACCGAGTTCATCAAACAGTACTTTAAAAGACGTTTAGCAGACCATTGAAGTGATTAAATTATATCACGGAAAGCTATGCAGCATTTTGACACATTATTTAAATAAAACGGAACATTTGAAGAAGACTTATTACACATATGTATTTTGTGAGGTTTTCTAATATTTGATCAAATATACAGTGAATTCATTGGTATTTAAAAAAAAAACAACAAAGATCCATCACTCTTTGTGCTCATTTCTTTATGCTGTACGCTTTAATCAAAGGATATTCCTATTTCAGAAGACTGTTCCCAAACTATCAACTATACATGGCTTGTCTCTTTTCAGTGGAAGTACCGATCGTAAATGTAATGGTATCACTTATTTACAGCTATTATTATATCAAAAACGTTCCTAGAGTCGAAATAAGTGTTTCAGGAAAATGAAATGTAATACCAAAATAAGAATTCAGTAAGCAGACTTAGTAAGTATTTATGAATAATAGTAAAGGTTCTCAAATGACCACATATTGCAAACACCAAACTTCCTACTGAAAGAAAGGTGTATCAGTTTCATCTTCTGCTTTACCGGCAGCCCACAAACCAGTATATCCACAATTTCTATCGGTACTGCTGTACATACTGCAGCTGTTTAAGCTGTTCACAACAGAAAAGAGTACTTCTAAACCTAAATCTCAATTTCCATGAGAATTTGACTTCAACTGCTTCAGAAATTTACTCTGAATTGCAGTATTTCAAAAACAAACTACCTGAAAACAGCAAAGAACATGTGAAATGAAATAGATTAGGCCAAATTTGTACAAAGAGTACTTTAAATCTTAGGCCTTGCTCTCATTCTGAAGTTAAGTAAGCAAAGGCCGCAGCACAGAACTGACAAGTACAGAGATAAGCAGTCCTTGCTTCTTTTAACTAACACAAATTATTAATACCACAAATTTGTGCTCAAGGCCTCTGCACAAGAGCACTCTCCCGCTATCTCTGCCCATAAGGAAGGCCGCTGCCCTGTGAGCTGTGTCTCCAAACAGGAGCTGAAGTGCTGCAGCCAGCCTCACAGGACTAGCACCATGAAGGGGGACAACTGCCTGCTTCCTGCTCTCCCAAATCTGTCTGTGTAGGTAGGCACCTCCTTATCTCTCAGACAAAATACAACACTACTGACTAGAAACTACACTATCAAAAAAGGCAGAACTGACAAACCTTAGGTAGAAATTTTAGATTTAGGATGAAGAGATGATGGAACAGCATTCCAAAAAGGCACAAGTGATTTTCTGCCACCCAAAACCACTTTCCCTCCCCTCAAAAGGCACGGCAGAAAGCAGGGTGTCCACTTCTGGGCAAGGCTCCACCACACCTCCCACAACAGAAATATACAGACTTGTACAGAGCTATTTCAAAAGGATCTTCACTTCAGGAAGAACAAAATAAGATTACTCATCGTGCTATACTGTGAAGTCAAATCAGCTACTTAAAAAAATCAGTCTTTAGCAAAGCTAAAATTACCTCAGCACAGCCTGCAACCATTAAATCAAATTCTTATATACAACTGAACTTTATTTTGCTAGCCATTAATTCTTTTGAGTAATTCCTAAGTTGTATCTGGATTCTTACAATGTAATCCTGAAGTATGTTTTAAGGAATCTGTGTTCTGAAATACTGCTAAAAGTCTCTGGGGAAAAGAATAAGTATTTTTATGGCCCAAATATATTCAAGAAATATTTGGCAATTTTTTCCCATTCTAGTAAAGCTAAAAAAACAGCAACACACAATCCCCCCCCCCCAAGCAAACAAACAAACAAACAGAAACACAACAAATAAATACAGTATAAATTCATTAATTATTGCAGTTATGAAGCTTAGTCCAAACTTATCCTATTTTTTCCAATTGTACCTTAAACTCCTGGAAGTCTATATAAAAATCTTACATTACACAAAAAGATTTAAAGATTTAAAAAGATTTAAAGCAAGTTGTTTACTCACGCTGTAACTGTGCAGCCCTCAGTTGCTTCTTTAACCTCTCCACTTCATTCTTTAAAAACCTAATGTGTCTCATCATATTTTCAGGGGAATCTATCTCCATTGATATGTCTCTGGGTGACGGCGGAGCAGATACTGGCTGGTCTAATTTCTCCTGCAATATTCTGAATAAAAAATAGCTTAAACTTTACTTTCAATTTACACGAAAAGAAAACCCTTTAAACTCCCCAAAAAGACACTACAAGGCTTTGGCAGGTAGGTAAGATTTATGCTAACTACTGCATTTGTTTAGGAAAATTTCAGGAGGATTAATAATGTTGTGTTGTTTTGTTGTTTTTTTTTTTTTAACCAAAAATACAAAACGTAAAATTTGTGTCCAGGGACAGATGGATTTTCTAAAGTATTCAGGTGTTGACACTGCCAAATATTTCTGCATATAGTTTGGGAAAAACAAGTTACAGACTTTAGATAGTTACCTCAGTTTTATACTCAAACTGTACTTAACCTACTTAACCCCCATAATAATTTCCAAGCAAATTCATTTAATCTCTTCCATGTTTTTACATTTATGTTCTTAGAGGAAGAATAAACATTCAAGATAAACAAATGCCGTAGTTTGTCTATGGCAAAATACAAGCTTTTCTGCATTTCACTATCAGCAAGAGAGAGAAAACGTCATAGACATTTTCTGAAGCAGATATTCTCCTTTAAAGTATCACCAAACAGAAAAATATTTCTCATCACATTGTTCTTTCCATACAGTCAAGGTTTCAAATACCTCAAACACTCAACCATGTTGACTGGCCAGACCCAAGGCTGCACTGAAGACTAGGGACAACACTATGCAAGCACAGCTCTTTGCATGGCCTGGTATTCATACACACCACACAATGTGGTACTAAAGCATGGTCTACGACTCCACCTATCTCCCAGAAAGAAGGCACACCATCTGAGATAAATTAAACTTGGAATGGTTTGACTTAAAAAAAAAAAAAAAAAAAAGAAAAAAAAAAAAAGACTTTAAAGCTAAGGTGTGCAAAAATCCTACCAAAGGTCCATTCACTATGGATTTACCGCTGTTGAATATTACATGCAGCAATTCAGAGCACCTTCCACAGGGCTCTGTAAAATAGAACTACAAGAACTGCAGCTCATATAGGTTCAGGTGTTTTCCAAGTCTCCAGTCAAGATTCATGGAGCCACACTAACATAACTCTCCTAAAACATGTAGTAGAAAACAAGGAATTAGTCACCTCTTCTCCCTTACTGCCCCCAAAGCAGAGTTCTTATACAGCAAAGAGAGAGTCGCTTTAATACATGTTTTTAATCTTAGCTTTCCCAAGAACATAAAGTATCTCTGTCTTATTTTCTGTTGAAGAAGCAGCAGGAAGTTTCAATGACATGAGTGCAAACCACTGAGAAAAAGCTGAAGTTTTCTTCAAGCAGATAGGGGAAAAAACAAGAGCTTCTTACATAATGATACCATGTTAATTTCTTTGGGCCATCAATAGAAAGCTGACCCAAAACCAGAAACTTTAAAAACTATCAGCAGTTAAAAAAAATCAGCAAATTCCTTCAAGTTTTCCCAGATCATTTTTATACTACTTAGCTTCATCTAGTGTAGGCACTCAAGCATGTGGTGTAAGGTAAACAAGGAGCTTTACAACTGCGTGAACCTCCAGGCTTTCACAGATGAAATAGCCCTTGCATGACAGAGACAAACATACTTAATACTAGAAGGTTAAGTATTAAATCATACATCTCCCACAGTAACACAGTGCAACAAGACAAACCGTTTTTCTGCTTCAAGCTTATCCATCCTCTTCCAGAGACGATTCACTAGTGCTTCTTGTTCTTGTTCCAAGGTATTTTCAAGGTCAATCTTCTCACGTCTTAGCTGCAGAGGAAAGCAATGAATTAAAATGATGGAATCATCTTTTTTTTTTTTTTTTTTCTTCAAGGAATTATCATTAGAAAAGATCATTGTCTTAGAAGAAAAATAAGGCTTTCACATGATGCCTTAAAACATCAAGGCAAATTTGTTAGACATTGGAACAGGCTGCCCAGGGAAGTGGTGGAGTCACCATCCCTGGAAGTCTTTAAAAGACGTTTAGATGTAGAGCTTAGGGATATGGTTTAGTGGGGACTGTTAGCGTTAGGTCAGAGGTTGGACTCAATGATATTGAGGTCTCTTCCAACCTAGAAATTCTGTGATTCTGTGAAATGCAAAGAAGAAACAGAATTCAGGCAAAATACACTGGTCACAGTGTATGGAAAATTTAAGAGATTCAGGAGTTGCACAATTGTCGTCATGTTATCAGAAATTTTTTACACAGAACTTGTTGCTGCTTGCCAGTAAAGAGGAGCTTGAAACCTGGACACATGGTCACTGATGCCATAACAAGCTTATTCAGAAAGGTCTCCACAAGCCTCTGAAGTTCACATGCAATGTACAGTCCACTATTTAAGCACTTACTCCTTTGAAAAAACTTTACGTTAAAAGTGGAAGAATCACGCTTATGTAAGCCAGAAACAGAAGAAAAGCCATGTCTGACTTGTGTTCGATAACAAGAAAAACAGAAACAAAAAAAATATTGAACCGCCTTCAGTGATACAGCATCAATCCTTACTAGCAAAACCAATTTAATTTCTATCTCAGCAAAGAATTAATAAACAACAACATTTAACCTGGCATTTTTTTATGTTCACACTAGAATATTAAGAGGCACATCTGATCTTATTCACTAACACTGGCAGCTGAACTCCAGGAGTTAATACGACAAAACAGATGTGATAATCATTGCCTTTACAGATGGAAAATACCATGAGGTTATTTTTCCCAACCAACCTACAGTTAACACTCACCACCTTCCCAATAGGCAAAAAAAAAACAAAAACACATTATAAAGACTGCAAATAGATTAAACGATTTCCTCACGTTTATTGCATCACTATGCCTAAAGTGCTGTTACACCATCTAAATCCATAAGGGTCACATTCTAGACTCTCAATTAATATCAAAATAACCAAACAGAACTTACACTTAAGCACTTAATGCAACAGTAAGAGTTTAATGAGTGACTGCACAACTTTCTTCTTCAAAATTTAAGGCAATTAGATATATTAAGTAAAAATACACTTATATTGATGAATAATAGGGAGCACGCTTAGAAAAAACAGGTTTAGACAACCTGTCCACATCTGCATTTCTAGATATACATGATCAATTGAGGGAATTTAGACTTCAGTAACACACAAGTCAGGAGCAACATGCTTCAGTCTCACGTGAGTGATGAGAATTTGTATCCTGACTTCTACTGCCTTGCCCACAGTAGCAGAAGCTGGAATGGTACAAAGCAAAGTGCTCAGCCCTTGGAAAGAGATGGTGTTTTGCCTTAGGATGCAGCTCAATAGCCAGCTTGGCCAATGCTTGGGCTGACTGAGTTCAGAGGGAAGAAAGTGCATAAAATATTCTGGGAATCTGCCTATCGTGCTCCTGTATTAGCAACACGAAGATCTTCACTACATCAGATGGCTATCTGTACAAACACATGATGAAGAAGGTTTGACTGCAGATGACTAATTGTACAGCAATGGTTTTTGCATCACTTCAATACCGTGTGGTTTGGACTCACCTGGTCTGACCTTCATAGCCTGTTTTACAGCTACATTATTGATCTAGCACCAAACAAGAATACAAAGGCATACTAGTGAAAACAAATCTATTTCATTTAATGGTAGGAAAAAAGAGCATACCGGAATTTGGAGACAAAGCAAATTATTTATAAACTCTAATTTGAAAAATCTAGGATTACACTTTGTATTATAGCAGCCATCACCAAGGCAGCACAGTCCATTATTAATTAGGCATCTGAATGTAGGTGAGTACGCACAATGGCAAGGTCAAATCATCAGGGACAAGAGACAAATGAGTTGTACCCTGAAGGCTGACAGATGTGTTCTGATGAAACACTGAAGACAGTGGTCTGTGAAGGAGATCTAAAACTCCACTTTTCAAGTAATATGAGAAAAAACTAGAAACAAGTATCCTCCTTGTCGGTTTCGAGTTTTTTCCCAGTTCCTCCCAGTGTCAGGATATTAAAGCTTTAATGAGTTGAACCTACAGAAGAAGCCACTGCAGCATGCTGAGCAGAGCTGTGAATTCACAAAGAATGTAGGTATATGTGTTTCGCAACAGACATTTCAGGTGAACTTTAAAATGAAGTCTAGATCTAGTCAATGAGTTTGTTTGGATCTTGATTATATTTTGAACAAAATAAAACGGGGGGGGCGGGGTACGGGGGGGGGAGGGCTCACATCTCAACACCAAACTAGCAGCTCTGTCAATACTTGCATCATTTTATACAGGTTCAAAATTATGTTCCAATCGAATATCATTTATTTTTTTAATCATCACAGTAGGGAAGTGAGGAAGAATTGCTTATTGTTTTGGATCCTAGTCTTCCCTTTAAAGGAAGAGAAAAATCCCTTTTAACCTTCCTTATCATCCCATTGTATTTCTCTTTGTCTAACACTTTCCTTCAAATGCAGCTAAAATATACATTCTATGTTTGTTCCTGCATTACTGCTTCTTGAGTCTTCTTGCCAACTTACTGACAAGCAAAAGTGTTTCTTCCTAAAATGATGGAGACCTTCCAAATCAGTGAAAGTTGAGTATGATTTCAGCCTAGTCCCACTATCCCAAATTTCACTTATTGGCTTCTCATCTGCCCCTCCCTGTTTGTATCCTTAATTCTTTGCTACTCTCCAAGAATATCTTTCCAGAAGACTTCATGTTTCATGATCTTCTCCTGTCAAAGGAGCAGACATAGGAGATGATTATTACCAACTTAATTCTTATTTCTAATCTGCTGACTGCATCACTTCCAGTTACGCACTTTACTGTATGAAATACTAAAGCAGTTAAAAAGGTTAACAGTAAAACTATATACACTTGACCTCTGGAGGACAGAACTGGCAGCTATTTTATTTCCCATCAAATCACTGAACTACAACACAGAAAAATAGCACTTGTTTGCTTTAACTAAAACATTCCGTTAATGAAATAGTCACATGTTGCATGCTGAAGTTCAAAGTAACTCGAGATTTATTGTATCTTACTGCAAGAAATTAAGATATACATTGGATTACACTTAAACACACATGGACTTTCAAAGTAAGACTCAACACCTTCTTAATTGAATTCAAGATCAGGTAATTGAGAGAAAGACCTGGTATCACCAAAATTAAGTAACTCATCACTGAACTTCCAGACTACTTTAAAAACTCATCTATTGTTGATATTCAAAGGTAGCAAAAAAAAAATCAAATGTTACAATTTCACAAGTCTCTGTGTGTCCATAACAATACAAAAAGAAATACTATTAGAACTCCAGCTGTGGCTTGTGCTTCTATTTCAAAGACTAAACCAGCTTAATTTGCAATCTTACTTTGCATTCATTTCAATTATGATTATGTGGCCACCACCACCACCTTGTGGCTAAGAGAGTTATTTCAATCTCATTAATTTCCACGCTGGTTAAGGATTTGCTGGCAACTACATCTTCCTACTTCTCTGTTTTGGTTCGTTCCATAGGTTGATCCATACAGAATGTTAATGTAAGAATTTAAAAAACCCATTTTGTCATTAAGCTAGCTATTAATTTACCTACAATTTCATCTGAAATAAGATAGTCAAACAGAAAAAAAAAAAAAAAAAAAAAAAAAGGTAGAACTTCAGATTATCAGCAACATAAAAATTTCACAATAAGAACAGCAAACAAATTCTCAGGAATAATATGCTATATTTACACCACTCAAAATTACTGGAATTTCACAAGCTAGAAAAACTGAAGTTCTTTAATAAGTCTGTATTTTTTCATCTGTTTGCCTTCATACGAAAATAATTCCTACTAAGGCCACTGAGGTGCTTTGATACACATGCCTAGAATTTGACATAGAGGGAATACCTAAGTCTAAATTTCCTGTAGAAACAAGACCAAAACAAGTGATATTTTATCTCTCCTCTTCATTGCTCTCTCCAGGGAGAAAGGGAACTGGGCATAGTCTATCTTAAAATCTGTAAGTATGCACAGAACTGACATCTGACAATTGAGTCTTGTGCTATCCAAGCTACCACAAAAAGGTGACCTAGAGCACAGCTAGACCACATATATACGGTTTACTGTTGTGCCTACCTGCTATTAGAAATGGCAGTCTTTCTCAACAGTAGTATGGTAGTGGAGGCTGACAAACAGCAACAAGTATAACTTACAAAAAGTAAGTTGCATTTGCAGAATAGTCACAGCTGTCCAGCCAACATGAAGGCCTGTATTAAGGGTACTGAGAGTCATAAATGCCATGGGAAAAAAACAAGGGGGGGTTCATAATAAATTCTGTTTATGCTGTACTGCTTTGACTACAAGTTAAAATCACTTTCCTTGAATTATATTGTCGATATTGGCCAGTTTCTTACAGACTTAAAAATGAAGTCAAACGTAAACCAAAATAAGTAATTTTTTTGAATCCTTGTTTTTGTTTTACAATCATCGTTTTGAAAGCAAGGAGTTACCTGCTCCAGGGTGAGTTGCTTCGAAATTGTATCATTTTCCAGTTTTTTAATCTTCTTCATCAGTTTGTTCACTTGAAATTCCTGTTCCTGTTCTAGATGCTGCTCCAGTTCAGCTTTCTCATGCTGTAGCTAAAAATTTAGGAGATATGGAAGAATTTTAAACACAAGTTACACACCATTTTAAAATTTATTTATATGTTGATCCTTACATAACATTAAATTCTCTACTGATAATTCTTCTCAAAAGCCTTCAAAATGTACAGAGCACCCAACAGTCTTTCCTCAACAAGCTGAAATTCATTTGTTCATTAACTCAGTTCCTTTTGGTGCTATTTGGAGACAAAATAATCTGAAATGTAGCCTGGCAAAAGATTCAGAGCAGAAACGCGAGTGTGGAGAGAACAGAATACAGACAGGAACAGCTTGGAAACATACATATGTAAGTAGCTATGGTTCAATTGTATTTTCAGGGCTTATTGGTACTGAGACTTCATTTTTCACATATTAAAGTCAACACCAGAATGGTGTTTAAAATAAGTGAGTTTTCTCCATTCACTTAAAAAAAATAAATCACACTTTTCTCCAAAAATTCCTGAAGTTCGCAGAAATTCCCAGGCACTTGAGGAAGCCAGCTGGACTACAGAGCGATAGTAACAGAGGCTATCATGGCCACTCTAGATTGACGAGTTGGGAAATTTTGTTCAATTTTTTAGTCAAAAATAAAGCCATTTCTTCTCTTGTGTGAGAAAACACAGGGCTGCAAAGTAAAATTTTTCATTAGAACAAAAAGTTACATTCACTTATAAATCAAGATACCGTTTGTGTTGTTTGATAATCAACAATCTGAAGTACCTTACTTCAGTAATGGGGTTCAGCTTGTTTGGAAAAACAGTTTTAATACGAAGAGGATATCATTTAGTTTTACAGTTTTCTAAATCCCTCCTCCACCCCATCCAGCAGCCCCAAGTTTAAGACTGAAGACGGCCAAGGCGCTCAAGGAGCAAACAGCGTGCAGATGACCTAGCTCAAGGCGCTCATACTTTCATCAATCTTCATTTTGCTCTAGACACTTTATGTTTTTCACCTAGCTAAAAATTGAAATCAAAGCCAGTTGCTGTAATCAGCTTATATTTAGTTAGCAAAATAAACTGTGTGAAAAGGCATGTTGCCAAAATCTCTTACTCAGCCTAAAGCCAGATGCTGCTAACAAAGTGTCTGGTTAGGGGCTGCTAGCATTTTGCAGACAGTTTAGTGAGTCAGGCTGCTGGTATGGTCATATGAAGGTACCTCAAGCCAACTTACCAGCAAATACTATTTCTTGCTCTCATGTCCTATACGCAAATGCGATTATCATATTTAAAACAAATTGAGCTGCAAGAACAAAATCTTGTTTGGCAAATTATTTCTTCTAAAGCTTGTGTGGAATTTGCATCACACGGGAGCTGATGAGGCTTGTTAGATCTATAGCTGCTATGTAGCATCTATTAAATCCTTTCTTGGGAGTGTGAACTGTAGCCAAAGGACGATTCTAGCTGATCAGAAGACTAATGAGTAAAGGCTGAAAAGATTGACTACAGGAACACTTTCTATTCTGATTTCAACATAAATACACCAGGAGGTAAAATGACTATTATTCAAAGTGGAAAGAAAAGAGTAATAGCACTCCCCCAAAACACATGTTAATGGTATCTGTCACTCACAATTCTATAAAATCTTTCTTCCCTTTCACTGGCTTTGATCAGAAAAAAAAAAAAATACAAAAAACACAACAACTAATGCTGAAACCCTAACACTGAAAAACAGAATTGCTAACACTGAGACAGTGTTTATTTTACTTAGTAAAGAAGTAAAGAGAACATTTTCAAACTTCTAAGTTATATGCAATTATAGTCACAACTGTTTACATACATAGGTATAGCTGCCAGCTGAAGAAAAGGAAAAAAATGTTAGAACACATCACCTTCAGGACAATGCCTTATAGACCTTGAAATGCACGTGAAAACTGTAGGAGAGATACTGTAAGTATTTACACAAGATCAGATATGGACTTGGGGTAAGAGAGCAAATACTTTAGAGAAGTGGGCTTTCAAATATAAAGCTGAGTAATATAAGTAAGAGTGCACACATTACTTCAGGCAAGTTCTACACAACTACAGTAATTTCCTCTTCTCTCTACAGAGAAGTTTACTGATACAATGTAGGTCCACATTTTCCTTACTTCCTTACTGTATGACCTTTCCCTGGGACAGCTAAAAGTGTTATCCTGAAATAATGGAGCTAATGGATGAAGTTCCCTTTTAAAAAAAGCAACTCTCATCCCTCAGACTATGACCTTGTACACTGTCCTAACAGTCTATTTTTAGTATTCCAGCCCTTAAAAGTTGTCCAATTCCTCCTTTGATGCATCCTGAAAGTCCTTTTTATTAACAAATTCCTATCAGTGTGACTCCTCTTTACATCCAGATGTTCATCAAATACATGATAGATGAGCTGACTCTGCTTATTTCACACAATTATTATTTATTTGCATCCTCAAGCTGACACATGGTGTTTTGGAGAGCAGGAAGGGTAATAGCTTATGTCAACATGCTTACAATTTTTGAAAGAATTGTCAAGAATCAGATTTGCATGAGAAACCTTTCACTATAGCTTCCCAATTACTTAATTCTCCCGACTATTGATTACACTATTATCTCTATAAATCTTAACATTTTACTTCCAAGGCCAGGTACTTGGAGCAATTCACACTTTCAAAAAAATAATGATATGGAAAAATCTATGATTTTGAAATGGACTACTGGACAACGTAAAGAATAATTGACTTTATAAATTAAAGCAATATTAAAAATTGATTACTCCTTAGAGTAGCCTCGTTTCACAACAGATGCAATTTTCAAGATTTACTTCTTTAAATCTCAAAACTTCTTTAAATCTCTTCTTTAAAACTCAAAATTCCACATACATACTGTTCATCAAAACAGTTCTAATGATGCTCTGTAAAATGCTACCACTATTCTCTAATGACTAGGAATCAAGGAGCCTACAAAATACTTGTGCCCAACTTTTCAGATACGTAGCCAGGCAGACAAAAGAGTATGTGGGAAAGTATAGTGAATTTATATAAGGTTTATAAAAGCTGTATCAGGATGTATGTGACAAAAAGCTTTTGTTTGCTCCAAAACATCTATGAGACGGATGCTCTCCTTCATATGTCTGTCACTTTCAGTTTAGAAAAATTAAAAATTATGCTAATAAAAGGAAATTAAACCAGCAAAAATGTACAGTTATTTATTGGGCTTGTAGAGTCAGTAAAAGCTAATGACATAGTTACAAACAACTACTATCAAGCAATAGTGTACCACCAGAAAGCCTGGTCATAGAGAGCAGTATTCCAGTGAAAATACCTTTTTTTTTTTTTTCCATACTACTATGTATGTTCAGAATCAGTCTGGCATACACAATGTTTCAAATTTAGTTTCTTACAACTACATCGAAAACCTGATGTAACATAATGGTTTATAACAGCAAGGCACATCATGCTGAACTGGGGAATTCTCGCTGGGCTATTAGCAAGGAGCGCTGCAGCTCATGCTGGCAGACAGCTTTCACACGTCAAGCGTATTAGTGTTCTGGTAGCTCGCACCCGATGCTGCTCTGAATGCCATGCATAAGCCCCTACAGCTGTGAAAAACAAAGGACTTTCAAAAACTGTTACCTAATGATGTTGGCCAAAATTACAGTTCTAGTGCTATCAATTTTGAGCACTGGTGCATTTAAAAATTGTCACCTTTTAAAATCGGGTTGACATAATCACATTTATCATAAGTTGAATGAGACTTAGAGGAAAGTCACATGAAACAAAGTTTGGGATACTGTTCAATAAAAGCACGCAGCGGTCAGAACTTTATCTGTAGTTATGGCTGTATAGTTACTTCCTTTCAGCAGGAACTTGTGGCTTGCCTATTGAAAGCTGGATAATATCTACTGGATGATGATGAATCCAAAACTGAGGATTTTCTCCAGATGCCAAACAAAAGGCTAGAATAACCTCATCAGGTTTATTACTTCATTTTGCTTCTCTGAACCTTTCTCTCAATAGTGAGAATGAAGCTATACCTGAGCTTCCAATGGGTATACAATATAATGCCCTAGAATTACGTCATATACTACAATGCAGCACACTTTTGGCCATTTTGAGGATCATTGATTGTTTGCACTTTTCCCTAATTTAGGATGACGGCCAAAGGATACTTTCTGAAAGCCCACAGCAGAAAAGAATAAAAATTCATTTTAGTATTAAGTTGACAATAAGTTTGCATTTCTCTCTGTAATCTGCAAACCTACATTGTATAATACTAACGTTTTAAGAACTGTTAAAGATACAGCTTTAAAGCAACCTCTCACTTTCCAGAATGTATATGACAGTTAAGTCTGGAAAAAGGCTAAGGTAATCTTACCAGCAAAGTATATTTTAAGCAATTACTAAAAATTAATCAATTAGTTACTGAAGAACCTGTGCAGTACACGTTTGTGCAAGTACACATTTAAGCAAGTCTAAAACCTTCAGTCAAACCAAGTGTAATTCATGCTTTTGCTTTTGAAGTGTTACTTTGCTGTACACAATGTAGTGGTATGGCTCCCAGCAACCTGCTTCTGTCACTGATTCCTACATCACGCTTTCAATCAAACAACGTTGCTTGGTATATCATTTCTTGCTTTTCTGGAAGAGGCTTTTGTAGGAAGATTTTTCTACAACATTGACATCTTCATTTAGAAAAGAACACTCAATATCTCCCCACACATGCATGTACCTTTTTTTTTTTTTTTTTTTTTCCTTTTTACTACCATCTGCTGCTTTATTTTTTGTGAAAATGTATGCTTTAGAAAGCAAAAGCAAATCTTATTCAGAAACATTTTCATCAGTCCTCAAAGACAGAGAAAAAGTAAATACAAGATTGGGAAAAGTTATCTTGATGCTTAACGTACTACATGACATTAAGCATTACATTGACAAAGTCACAGAAGTCCCAGCTTTCATTAAGGAAAGTGTCAGATGGGATTAGCTCTAATTGTTTTTTAGAAACAACGCATTTCCTAACTGCAGGGCTAAGCATATCTCAAGTGTTTAGCCACAGAATAGAAGAAATTCTTAAAACACACAAATCAGGCTCTTTAAACTCAACTGGTTTTTCATGGAGAGGTTGTAAATAATCACAGGGTAAGAGCCACAGTGGGTCACACCGACGATTCACCTAACTTACTGTCCTGTCTCCTCCAGAGGACAAAAGCAGATACTTAAATATGTCTCTCAGAGCAGGGCGAGCATGTACAATACTTCCCACAAATATTCACCCATTCTCCAAAAATTAGGAGCACGGGTAATCAAAGTAAGTTTCTCTGCCATACATCATTACAGCACATTAAACTTTTTACTTTTAGCACTGAACTCATATTAACATTTCATTTAAAGAGAAGGAACCGTTTTGTTAAAAGTATGAATAAACTTACAGATAGTCTCCTGGCAACCTTCAAGCATCACAGCACATTTTTATATGCAAAGTTTAATATTTCAGGACTCCTTTTAAATACCATATACATCAGAAAAAAAAAGTGTCAGTTTCACTAATTTTTAAAATTAAATAGCAACTATTCTGTTAAACAGTTAACATTTACTTTAAGTCACATCTATTTCTTTGCATCTCTGTAAAAACTTTCCAGTTCTCTACAGTATGCATTTGGAGATGCAAACTCTACATCAATGTATTAAAAAAAAAAAAAAAACAAACACCCACTCACTACAGTTATTGTACTTAGCATTTATCAAGTGTCAGCTCTAAGTAGCTACAATGTGATGACGTCCCTCTGGCTGCAGTCATGCCAACAAAATCAAAAGTTCAACCACCGTTTGGCCCTGAGGCTCCTAGGAGAAACATCAGTAAAGGAACCACTTACCTGCATCAGTTTTCTTGAGAGCTCGTTAGTGAGAAATTCCTCTTCCTTTTCATAGTTTACTGCAAGCGTTTCTTTTTCTTTCTGCAGAGCTTGAATCTTCTTAAACAGAGTATTACTGATGAATTCCTCCTCCTGCTCTGCCCGTGCTTGCTGTGAAAACAAAGACAGTTTTAAGAAAGGAAGCAAGTTTCCACGTTAAAAACTACAATTACTCTGTTCCTCTTTATGTTCCTCTCTCTCCTCCCCTCTTTTTCTTCAATCTTGTCCTTCCATGTTGGACAACAGTAGGATGAATGTAAGTGCTGCTATCTTTTCTAGCAGAACAGCATCTGTCTTCCTTTTTATTGCCCACCATTCAATTTTGGAAACTACTGATGGTTTTAAGTGGCTTCCCCCAATCAAATGCACAAACTCTCCAACCTTTTAGACTTTACAAAAAGATTACTGATTCAGAGATATCAACTTCTACCTTCATCGTTCCTAAAAAGAAAAAACAAAACAAAACAAACAAACAAAAAAAACCAACCTCCTCTCCAAACATTCTCCAATAAGAGCTGAAGCATGGACCTGAGACTGTGCTGCATTCAGCACTGTGCCTTCTTGTCAGATCCCTTAGATTACAGCACTGTTCTCTAGGAGTCAAATAATGTGTTCATCCTTTCACGCAGATATGCCTTGCCTCTCAGCCACAGATTCACATCATGAGGATTTCTGCTCAACCACCAGGCCAACAGGAGAACATTCTTCAACTGCTCTACAGCTCCCTCACGAGGGGAGCAGAGGGGCAGGCACTGAGCTCTGCTCTCTGGGGACAGCGATGGGACTTGAGGGGACAGCACAGAGCTGGGACAGGGGAGGGTCAGGCTGGGGGTTAGGGAAAGGTTCTGCACCCAGAGGTGGTCGTGCACTGGGACAGGCTGACCAGGGCAGTGGTCATGGCACTGAGCAGCTGGGATTCAAGAAGTGTTTGGACAACGCTCTCAGACATAGGGTCTGGTTTTGGGGTGGTCCTGTATGGAGCCAGGAGCTGCACCCAATGTTCCCTGTGAGTCCTTCCCAACTCAGGATATTCAACGATTCGATAATTATTTCTCAGACCTGTTCCCTCACTACATACAAAATCAACTTTCCAACAGACAAACAAAAAAACCTGCATGCAGTTTTACCCGGAGGATTTCCAAATTTCAAATGAAGAGAGCTCTGTTGGAAATCCTCCCCATGAAGAATCATTAGAGAAGACAATTTCCTTTTCAGCTCTCCTGAAGTACCTAAGCACTGCTACAAAGAAAGGCAGCTCACAAGCACTCATTCTTCATTCCCTGCAATTCAGATGTTTCTTTTTCTTTTCTTTTTTTTTTTTATTGTAGACTTTAGAAACTTCACAAATGGAATAAAGAAGTTCTCCTGAAAGTCTGATCTGAAAGAGCATGAAGGGTATTTCATATGGGCAAATGAAAAGTCGTAGCTACAGAGGGGTGAAACCAACTCCTGATTCCACAGTCAAAGGACAACCAGCCCGAAACAACGGGATGACACAAGCAGAAAATTCCCGAGCCATAGCTTTTAATAAATGAGACCACGTAATGTTAAGGAATATTTTCACTCCCTACAATTAAATCCACATCACCTGACCTGCAGAGATGTGATTTGCCCTGATTTTAATGAAGCAGAATGCAGTTTATACATGAAGATTCACTAGGTTTTATTGTGGTAAAATTTGAGAGAGAAAAATTTAAGAAGTAACAAAAAGCATAAATGGAGTTTTACTGAAAGTTTAACTTCCATAATCTTCTGCCCAAATTGTGCCAGAATAACCATCTCTTTATACATACTGCACAACGGAAGGCACTTAAAGGATTTCATTGTGCCAGGGATCTTTTAGCCATAATGATATATTCCCTAGTAGTCCAAGAGGCAATTACTTAAGCAGAGACAAGTTCCATGCCAACAAGAGAAGTTACTTAAAGAACATAACTGTCTTTAAAGCTGGTGGAACAATAGGGACAACATAAATATCCTCACTGTATCTCTAGTATCAAAAAATCTAGAGCAATGATTTGGAAACTCATCAATTGAGTCCTCCCTCCATCTTTCTCTTCACATCCTCATCACTACTTTCTTGAGTCTTCTCCCATCTCTACTGCTTTTATGCCTTGGCCCTTCTCACCACCTGCTACCAGTTCCCCCTCTCCCTTGGCACAAACCCAATCTGAAGGAGGGTAGAAGGCAAAAAAAAAAAAAAAGATCTGGCTTAGTTTATTAGCTTAGATCCTGCACAGCACCTCGCTAATGCTCTAACGTTACTGCATCTCCCTGGCAGAGAACCACTGCTCCAGCACGCTTGGAATCAGTAGCATCACTTGTCACATCAGGACAATATACGAATGCCCAGAAGGTTTGAAGAAATACTAAAGTGTCAGCTTTTAAAATTTTATGTCTCAGAACACTACAACACAAGCAATCTAATATCTCAATAACACTGTCTATCACCTTCTAAATGTGGCTTTACTTTGAGCTACTATCATCTTATGTCTTCAGAGAAATGTCAGAACAGAGTAAACAAGTCAAATTGCAATGGTTCATTGTCCTCAAATCGTTAAAATTCATGTGTTCTGTTCCAAAACCATCTCCTCCATTGTCTTCACTACACAGGACTTCTACTGGTGTCTGCTTTTCAATGTTTCAAAGATAATAGAACCAAGGAAGACAGACCAAGCATACCTAAAATTAAATTAGAAATCACTTGGTTCTAAAATAAAGAGGCAAGGCACTTCTACTTAAGTTTCTATTGATTTCTAACTTGTACAGGTTTGCTCTGCACCCATTTAAAGCTCTGACATGAGAGTGCAGTGGCCCTGACCTGAAGAGCAGCACCCCGTAGCCAGGTGCTGGTGGCACATCAATGCTGGGTGCTTAGGTCAGCGTGCCCGGCAGCTGCCAGCATCTTTGCCTAGCCCTGGGCAAACAGCTCTGCCCATCCTCGGCGCCTGCACTGGAGCTGAGGCGAGCAGGCGATGGGCCAGGCCAGGCAGGAGGAGACACCCAAGCAGTCATCCTTTCCTCTCCTCCTCCCATTTTTCTTTCCGGGATCAGCTTCCCAAACTGGCTTACCGCACAGGCAGAGATCTGGCACGGGGCCATAAGGACCGAAGGGCCACACCTTTGGCCTGGGGAGGCTGCTCGGGAACAACCCCGCTGCCCACACTGCGTAGGGCACCGGCTTGATTCAGGTGGCTCAAAGGAAAAGCTGAATTATAGGATTATATCTGCCTCCAGTCCACCAGCAATATATTCCTCAGCTGAACAAACAGGAAGCCTATAAATCCAAATAGGACCTGTGAGTTCCAGATATCCATACATCAAATGTAATACAATGAACGTCCACTGAAATTACCCGGTGGTCAGCAATTTCAACACAAACTATTAAGTCATAAAAAATAATGCTACAGTTATGAGACTGGGTATAAAAAGCACAAGAAGTGTTACCATATTTCTTCTAAATCTAGATACTTCCACTCTGATTCTTTCCCTTTATCTTGTTACTTATTACACTGGAGATCATTTGACTACCTTAAGTGATAAAATTATTCATGTTTATCTTAATAATGCCTGAAATCTTGGAACTATTACTCATGTAGCCCACAGTCAAGCTGATGTTTCAAGGCAGCAAAAAATGTTTTTCATCTTATTTCCTGCACAGACTGTCACTGTGATATTTTTCTGGACATATATATACACTGTGTTTCCACACAAACAATCTGCCTCATTATTAAGTATCTGCATTTGAAAAGAGGCCCTGATAGGATCTGCGAAAAATGAGAAAGAGCATGGAAATCAGTGACAGTGGGTCTGTGAAGGTACAGAGTTGGTGGTTCCTGTTACTCATATTACATTCAACATCCACAAACAGCAATTCACTTCATTCCGTGTACCAGATTACAAAACAAATTGCTGAGACCCTGAGCGATATAAAATGATAACACTGTCTCAGTCAGTCTCTGGAAACCTGAAACGAGCAATGTGCTTCCAGTGCAGATTTCCTGCAGAAACACAGCCACAGCCACAGCCACCTGTCCCCGTGTCTCAAACTCACAGCTCTGCACAGACGCACCCACTGAGGAAAAACCTTTAACTACCGTGGTCAAGAACATAAATGTCAAAGGCTATCAAATTATTTTGCAAGAAATAAAGGATGAGGAGGGGATTTTAAACTGCTTCTTGTGCACATGAAATGCATAGAAACTCTTGTATTTTTTAAGAATTTTTTATTTCATTTCTGTTGCAGTAGAATGCGACATCCTGATTACTAGTAGAGCTGATGTGTGAAGTGCTGTAAAAAAACATATTCTTGTGAGACAACGGGCTCACCAACCAACAGGCTGCTTTTTAAAAGAAAAAAAATGATATACACGTCTCTTAAACTGTATATTGTAACTGAGCATAGCGTTGGGAAGTGAATCTCAGCACAAGTTATTTTTTCCACATGCTAGTATAAACTGTAAAGTTTAGGGTTAACTTATTTTTATGCTCTCAGCTTTTCCTGTAAATATATCTCTAGCAGACCAAGAGCATGCTGCTGGATTTTCCTCTGCCCATTTGCTTCTAGTTCCCACAGCAGTTTCTGCTTCTGGTGGGCTGCTGTCTCTCTGATCACTGGACCATATTCCAACCACAGTGCCTTAGTGGTGAGATTTTATGAAACAGCAGAACTCAGGCTTTCTAATGAGGAATCAGCTTTAACAAAGTCAAATAAAGATTTCAGTCACCTACACTCCCTTCTCCTCCCAGGTTAGCTCTTCTAAAAGTTTCACAAATCTCCCCAGTACTGCAAAGAGGTAAGGAAGCAGGTTCAACTATCCAAAAGCTACTCAGTGAACAGCAATACTACATTATCAGAGAACTGACATATGCATACTACCCTATGGATAATATAAGCCTGCAGATGGAGCTGAAGAGCAATTTAATCTGCTGGCTGTACAGAAGAAACTCAATCTTTGCTACTGAATATAGCCTGAAACGCTGGGGCAGCTTCAGAAGGAATGATCTCAGCTGCCGCGCATGTTACGCTGAACTAGAGCTGTCTCTTCAGAAAGCAGCTTGGCCCAAAGTCCTACGAAAAATTGAGAAGAGGTAGAAAGGGTGTGAAAAGC